TGAATGCAAATTATTATACATTATCACTAAAATCTTCAATATCACTGACATTTCTGCCATTGAAACTTTCAGTTAATTGAGACCCATTTTGTATAATAATTTATGCGTTGCAAATTAGAATGTTTCAGAAAATTTGTCGCTAATCAAAATAATGGATCATTCATACTGCATTATTGTTTTATTCCTAATATCACCATTAAATTGTCACGAAGAGAATACGGCAGATATATTCGACATAAGAGACGACTATAATATGTCAAAAAAATATGTCGCAATTATATCATTTTCTCTACTTCTGCTGTACGGTGTTGTTGGCAATATACTGTTGGCGGCAGCATTCTGTAGTCGCAACAATATGTACAGTCGTCCATTCATCTTCATCACATTCCAAATTATTATTTGCAGCTTTTTGAATTTTTTTACACAAATAGTCATCGTCATACCTGGAATATTAGAGAACAAAATTTCTGGTTGTAAGTTCCTTCCTTTTCTTTATATTATCCATTTGAGAGGATATACACAATTTAAAATCGCAGACATAATCTAATTGCTATGGCTGATACGGTTAATTAGTGAGATAGAAATGAATGGATCCGTAAACGTGTGCTTAGTCAATTTTGCACATATTACAACAGATTTACCTTAATTAATTTATTTATTTTCATTCTAGCATATAAATCAATATTATTCCAAAGAATATTTGCTTCTATGAATACACTTTCATTCTTTGGTTTATTGGACTTCACATTTCTATTGACGGTTAATCGCTTTGTGACCATATGTTTGCCGAAATACAATGATTTCTTCGAATCAATAAAGTTCTATTTTCTCCCCGTCTGCCTGTGGCTTTTTTGCCTCGGTACGATCTATTGACTGTTTTATGCATTTTTTGAGAGCATAAATACTTGCAAGAAATACGAATTAGATTCATATCTGTTCCATATCTATTACAGTGCCTTCAATATAAGATCAAAACGCTTGAAAATTTTCAAATAACTTTTCAGGGTTTTCGGTCCTAGAATTTAATTACTGCATTAAAACTTTCAACATTCCGAATTTGCGATGGTTCTTGAATTGTACCAAAAACACGTCAGAAAATGCTGAACTGCTTAAGACGTTTATTTTTGATTTTAATTTTTTCTTTTCTAAGAAGAACATTATCTGATGTTCATCAGTTATCCAATAAAAATTAGGAATTTCGTTCATTCGAAGTATACTTTCCAATTTTCTTTTTGTTGAAATAATTAATATTCATCTGTCAGCATCTTCATTTATTGTTTTCCGACTATTTCTATTCAGAATCCGTTATTTGTGGACGCTAGTACTACCTATAGCGATGTTTGCAATGTACATTGCAATATTCTATAAAATTCGGCACAGACGGCACAACGTTTTGCAGTTCTGCAAAGAAAGCGGTAATTTTTGCATTAATTTTTTGCATAGTTGATAAAAAACGCACTGTAATAATTTTTAAACCGTTTAAATTAGAAAATAATTAATAATTCCTTCCATTTCCTTTCATCTAATTTGCAAGTTGATTAAATAAATTCAACTACTTTAAGAAATTGGATGCAACAGGAATTGGCAAACTTTAATGAGCGATGTTAATCCTCAGATACCTCAATTAAAGTCAACCATTCAAGAATATTTGCAGGATGGGAGGCAACGATAACGTCTAAATATGAACGGTTGATGTTAAATCATTCAGCAATCATTTGTGGAGCAATTGAAATTGAAATTATTTGTTTCTACTTCTTATTGAATATCGCAGTCAAATTAGCAGGGAAAGAAGCTGAAATTCCTGTCAATATTTTCATCAATTGCTACGTGATTTCCATCGGTGCAATACTGCCCACCGTCATTTTAATTTTCGTTAAACGATTCCGTATCAGCGTAAAACAAGCAACTGTAGATTTGTTATCCAAAATTACGAGCAAAAGAAGAGCGGCTGTCGCTTCAGCTATAGGACCTGCGTAGCTAGTACCAGCTACGCGCGAGCTAGATCAGTATTTTTTCTCGTACGCTATTAGAGTAGATTTGATTTCAGTGCAGTGTGTATATTGCCACCATTAATTTTATTTTAGTGAAATAAAGCTTTCCGCCACGATTACGAAATATGCATTTGTGAAGACTCACAAAAATTGAAATTATGAACTTGAAATAATCGGTTTCGAGACAATATGATACCGACTATTTCAAGAACCATGGACCAAATAAATTCTCTCCGATTTTCCTTCCCCACGAATGCAATTGTATTTCTTTCCACAATTTTTTGTTTTCCAAAGCATTCCGTCATGAGCCGTATTTTGAGAATTGCGAGATTTCCCGGAATAGATCACTACCGCAAGCTCTTTTTCCAAATATCAAATGCGGTACTTACCTGCAATATTCGCTACATGGCAAATTTCGACAAAAATTTAAAAAAATAAAGAGCAAAAATTTTCTATGGGTAATGACTGATAAGTTATGAATACACAATGGAGTCGAAAAATAAAATCCATTGCGCCTCGAGAAACGAAAACTGTCACAAAGTAGGAAGCACATTATGTAGTAATATCTCGATGACATTAATTGCAATAGAGTTTTGTTTTACATTTAACGCATTGTTCAATTATTGATACTATATAGATAGGGGAAGAGATTTATTAGCTTGTTTAAAAGAATGGGTCAAGAAGGATATTCCATATTTTAGTAGTTCTAGTTTCTTATTTACTTGTTTTTTAAAATAGGAATATAAATTAATTGTTACGTCAGAAGTTTTAGATTACCTATTTGCTTAATTACTCCCTTTTACAATTGCTTTATATCTGTAATTGCTAGCAGCAAACATAATTGAATTTTATAAAACAATTTCTGTCGAAGTTATAATTCCAGATGTTGACATATATCATTGTAGTTACTGCCTCGCATTTATTTTTGGCATGTCCGAGCAGACTGCTTGCTAAACATTATTCGTTAAAAAGCCTTCGATTTATCGACTGTAATAATATGGAAGTAACCACTGCTTGAGTTGCTTTTAAAATAATCTCATGCTCATTCTCCAAGTTACTCATTCTCGAATTGTGACCCTTTTGTAAATTTCAGAGAAACGTTGTAATATTTTTCGGTGAATGAATATTATTACACATTATCACTAAAATCTCAAACATGCAATAACAACGGAACTATTAACATTTATATAGCATTACATGTTCTAGTTTAGATATCACTGCAATATTAATTTTACTTTTGATTTCCGTAGTGGTTTAAGGGACTGTATGGGTGGTATGCCATTCATTTAGTATTAGATGATATTATAGAGCCCTGGATCTTTTTGTACAACAAAATTGGAATGAAAGAAAGAAAAACAAATTGAAATAGACAAAAGGAATTAAATAAGCGAAAAATCTTACTGATGTATTATTTTGTTTTCTACTGTTTGTTATTTTGTTTTCTGTATTTAATTGCTACTATAATAGCATTTTACCTATTAAAATTTTATGCATGATTCTATTTCAGAAATCAACTCAGTTACATTATTTATTATTCATACAGTTATTCATTACAGATTATTTCATTTTCACTTTTTGCCTTTGTTATCATAAAGTAAGTTAATAAGTTATTGCTTCCACTCAAACTTGCTGAGAGCAATAATTTATAACGAATATGCCCAAATAATAAAAACAGCTTTTATTGCGATAATAATTCTAACTCGTGTGATTCATCGCGTAAATTGTAACTTAATGAACACAGCAATGCCTAATATGATGAATCATTTGGCAAAATTCTCATTATTGTTATGATTACATTGCTTATCACTATGAGGAGATCATACTGAAACTCCCAAGCAATTGCGACCTATTTTCCATAATAATTTATGAGATGAAAATTAGAATGTTTCAGAGGAATTGTCGTTGATCAAAACAATGGATAGTTCATACTGCATTATTGTTTTATTCCTAATATCACCATTAAATTGTCACGAAGAGAATATAACAGATATTTTCGACATAAGAGACGACTATAATACGCCAAAAAGATGCGTCGCAATTGTATTGTTCTCTCTACTTCTGTTGTACGGTATTGTTGGCAATATACTGTTGATGGCAGTATTCTGTAATCGCGAAAATGTGTACAATCGTCCATTCATCTTTATCACACTCCAAATTACTATTTGCAGCTTTTTGAATTTTTTTACACAAATAGTCATCGTCATACCTGGAATATTAGAGAACAAAACTTCTGATTGTAAGCTCTTCTCTTTTCTTCCATATTATTCACTTACTAACGTTTGTTGAGAAGATATATATAACTTAAAATCGCAGACATAATCTGATTGCTATGGCTGGTATGGTTAATTAATGAGATAGAAATGAATGGATCCGTAAACGTGTGATTAGGCAATTTTGTATATATTGCAACAGATTTGCCTTAATTAAGTAGTATATTAATATTACAGCATAATATTCATAATATTACAGCATACAAGTCAGTATTAATCCAGAGAATATTTGCTTCCATGAATACATTTTCATTTTTTGGTGCGTTGCATTTTACATTTCTATTGACGGTTAATCGCTTTGTGGCCATATGTTTACCGAAATACAATGATTTCTTCGAATCACTGAAGTTCTACTTTCTCCTTATTTGCGTGTGGTTTTCAGCTCTCGGTATGATCTATTGAGTATTTTACTCATTTCTTATAAGCATCAATAATTGTAAAAAGATCTTCAAAAGTCTTCAATGACAAATGCAAATAACAATTGCACCTGTTATGTCTACACCTGAGAGATTTTAAAAGAATCAGTATGTACTGCTATATCGTTTGATAAATGAACGTGTGAGAAATAATTTCAGCAAAATTGCCGTAAACTTGATTATTTCGCTCTTCACCATAAAGTCATCCGCTTGCCGATGATCAGCCTTGTACAACATGAGTCTTGTTAGGCTGTTCCATATCAGTTTCGGTGTTTTCAATATACCATAAAAACGCTTTGAAATTTTCAGATAACTTTTCAGGGCTAACGGTCGCAGAACTTCATTATTGCATTAAAACTTTCAATGTTTCAAATTTGGAATGGTCCTTGAATTGTACCAAAAAAATTCCAGAAAGTGCGCCAGTGCATATGGCGTTTGTTATTTTTGACTTTAGTCTTTTTCCTTTCGGAGAAGAACAATGGTTGAAGTCTATTAGATATCCTGCAGCATATTAGGAATCTATTCCTTTTTGTTGAAACAATTAATATATTCATCCGTCAACATCTTCATTTATTGTTATTCGACCATTTCTGTTCAGGATTCGTTATGTATGGACGCTTGGATTACCCATAGCGATGTTTGCGATGTACATTGCAATATTCTACAACATTCGGAACACGCGGAAAAACGCTTTGAAGTTCTGCAAAGAGAGCGGTAGCTTTTGCATTAATTTTTTATGCAGTTAAAAAAACACTGTAGCAATTTGTGAACCGTTTAAAATAGGAAATAATTAACATTTCATCCCATTTTCTTTCATTTAACTTGCAAGTCGATTAATTGAATTCAACTACTTTAAGAATTTGGATGTTAAAGGATATATACAATAAGAATTGGTAAACATTAATGAGTGATGTTAATCCTCAAATACGTCAATTAATGTCAGCCATCCAAGAATATTTGCAGGACGTACGGCAAACATAACGCCTAAATATGAGCGGTTGATGTTAATTCAATCAGCAATCGTTTGTGGAGCATTTGAAATTGAGATTATTTGTTTCAACTTCTTATTGGATATTGCAGTGGAATTAGCAGGAAAAGAAGCTGAAATACCTGTCAATATTTTCATCAATTGCTATGTAATTTTCAACGGTGCAGTGCTGCCCACTGTCAATTTCATTTTCATTAAACGACTTCGTAGCAGTGTGAGACAAAGAAGTGCAGAATTGTTATCTAGAATTAAGACCAAAAAAAGAGCGACTATCGCTTCAGCTATAGCAGCTGCGTAGCTAGTACCAGCTACGTACGAGCTAAATCAGAATTTTGTCTCGTACACTGCTACAGTAATGACAGTTTCGTTTCAGTCCATTGTGTATTTTACTAAATTAAAATTAATGATAGCAAGATTGCCACCATTAATTTTAATTTAGTTAAATAAAACGTTCAGCGACGAATACGAAATATACAGGTTTGATTTGCAGAACTTACAGAAGTTTGATTTGCAGAAACTCTACCAAAATATTACTTTTAGCACGCAGCACATTATACAATGCACAGTACTCACGCTCTGTTGGAAAAAATAATGAGATTTCAAAATATTTTTTAAGGTATGTTATAAACAGTGTTGTTTGTTCGACTTTATGAAATATTTCTTCATACTAATACTTTCATTGTTTCATCATACTGAATTAAGGTTTAGCAAAGTTTAAAAAAATTTTTTCGTCTTTTGTTGAAATATAATTGTCTGTGATTCCTAAAAATAATTTACCGCACTTTTAATCATTTCAAAATTAAAATTTATCTTTTATTTATATATTTTTTTAAGCGAGTGATAGAAGTGCTATGCTTGCTTATTTTTCATTGATTTCATTTTCGCTTTTATGTTTTATGAAAACCAAAAATTTTTTCCTTTGTATTTATATAATAATGTGTAGAGACAGAAGCGCTACCAAAATAAAACGTTGATTTATCCTGCTCAAATCGACGAAATACTTGAAATTTAAAAAGAGATAATGTCAATGGCTGTCAATTAATCGTGAATTATTGTTGCAAAATTGGCAGCATTACAAAAGTTAACATTAGAAACTTTATGCAATGACATTCAAATTCCGATGCATTTTATCAGAGATGCATCATGAACAAGAATTGATTATGGATCCGTATTTGCTCGACAGTAATTTTAGGAAATTGGATGAATGGATGCTCGGAAACAAAATGTTTTTCAATTGAAAAAATAATTAGTAATGTTTAATTAGTTTTGCTGTAGCAGCTGTAATTTTTTGATTGTTATTAATAAGTGAATGATTATAGAGGTGATGCCATAGGTACCTACAAAAAAAACCGCTAGTTATGGAGAATTATTAATTGATGAACAGAAACTTTTGAAATTGACTTCGAAATAATATACCGTTGAAAATGATTTCTCCAAAATGATTTCTTTTGCTGTCCAAGAAGGAAAGTGTTGTTAAATGATAATGCTACGTTAAAAGTGTAGAAAGAAGTCAGACACGACTAGCCAGCATGGAAAATCTTTTGAAAAAGCTTTAGTTGGTGCCCCCGAAATAATTGATACCGCGGTTCTTGATTTTGGTGAACAAATTTATAATTCCGTATTTGATGTTGTGACGAAATCGTTTGACCAAAATAAAATTGACGGTAGGCAATACTGAACAATTTAAAATCACATAACAGTTGATAAATATATTGACGGGAATTTCAGCTTGCTTGCCAACTAATTTGACTGCAAATTGTAACAGGAAGTTGAAACAAATGATTTCGATTTCCAATGCTCCGCAAACGATTGCTGATTGAATTAACATCAACCGCTCATATTTACTACTTCTTATCTTATATCCTGCAAATATTGTTGAACAGTTGACTTTAATCACCGTGTTTGAAAGTTGGTTGAAGAAACATGCAAAGGATTCTTGCGAAACAAAAACCAATGAAATGTTACCAGTTGCTTTGCGTAACTCCAAAACATTCTTTCGTCTGTGGCGCATATTGTAGAATATTGGAACATATATTGCGTAAGTCGCTGCTGGTAACGCAAGCGTCCATGCATGACGAAATCTAAATTGAAGTGATCAAATTGCAAACGAGTGAAAACATTGGACTGATTTATATTCGTTGCTTTAATAAAAACGAAATTGAAGATTATATTTCGGATGATGATGATTCCAAGCTCTTAAAACACATTTAGTGAACTTCAGATAATGTTGTCAAACATAAGATTCAACGAATAACGAACTTCATAAAAATGGCTCCGCTTCCTAGCGTTTTTTTCGTACAATTTATGGACCATTGCAAATTTGAAACATTGAATATTTTAACACAGTAGTGAAATTCTATGAGTGATATCACTGAAAAATAATTTTAGAATGATGGCTGTTTATTAAGAACAGTGAGATCAGTACAATAAGCTCTGATCATCTGCATGTTGAAGAAAGCTGAGCATCGGTTTACCTAGGAGATTATATGAATAAAAAGATCAAGTAAATAAGTTTTGATAATTTCAATAAGTTATCTGTTATGTGTTTCCTCCCGTTAAATGATAATTTTTAATGATGAGACTAAACGTAAAATCATATTACCGTAGCATTGAGAGATTCTACTGAAAACTCTATTATAAACATAGAGGTGCAATTGTCATTCCTGCTACACTGAATTTTTCGAAATCAATCAATCTTTCGAGAAATGCATAAAAATATTTTTATTAATAGTTCTTACCGAGAGCTGATAACCATATGAAAGCGATGAGAAAAATAAATTTTAAGGATCGGAAAAAAGCGTTGAATTTTGGTAAATTTATAGCCACAAAGCGATTTACTGCCAACAAACATGCAAAGTGCAACGTAGCTATAAAGGAAAATGTGTCCATAGTTGCGAATATGTCGTAAATCGATATTTCATAATGTCCTGAATTATGAATTAATTAATTAATTATTGGCAAATTTTAAAAATGAAAAAAAGACATTTTCATTTCTTTTTTCTCATTTCTATGAATAATCTAATAAAGTTTTTGCTTGATAACACACAATCATATTACTAAACAAATATGTTGAAGCACAAGTTAGTTACGAATAGCATCATAATATGTCCATCGCATATCAATGATAGAAATTAAATTCAATTTTATTTAATACTTAGGAATGCCATAGTTAAAAGGTTAACATCATGCACCTTTTCAATAAATGACAATAGGTGAATGACAAAGAAAACCTACTGTCAGGACTGCTTTTGGTCATTAACATTCCAAGCAAAACAATAGTCACTTGTGGGGTAAAGTTCAAAAAGCTGCAAATAATAAGTTGATATGTGATAAGAATGAATGCACGACTGCAAAGGCTGTTTTGTTTGCAACAGAATACGACTATCATTAGCACATTGCTGAGAATGCTGTACATCAGGAGCAAAGAAAATAATGTTATTGCCACATATCTTTTCACCGCATTATAATCGTCTCTTATATCGAAAATGTCTGTCATTTTTCCATATGTCAGTTCAAAGGTAATATTAGAAGTAGTATAATAATACAGTTTCACAGATTGTAAAGATTCTCTCGTTTGCAACAGAATGCGATCATCATTAGTACATTCATTTTATTCAATGAAATCATTTCTGAAAACGTTTTATTTCGCCTCAAATATGTTATTATGCAGAATCGGTCAAAATTAGCCAGAAACTAGAAGTTTCATTACCTGAAGTCCTGAAGTATTAACAGTAATAAATGCTTCTTACTTTTATCATTGGATGACTGTAAGCAATTGTTAGTATGTCAGAAACCAGAAATAATCTTATACAATAAATATGTTGCAATTTATGAAAGTATTTTATAAAAAACTTATGTTTTCAAAATTATTACATAAAAAATTAATTAATTTATGCTATTAATTAAAATTCTATTATCTTAAAATTGCAACTTACTCGATTAATTTCTATTTTTTTTAACTTAGTTTCACATATCTTAATGCGACTAGTTTTTTATATCTGATAAATATTTATTTATTTATTTATGAATTTCGGAATTACTACTGATTTTAATTTCTGATGCTTTATTGGCTATTAGAAGTGCTCTTCATCTGCTGTTGAAAGATTTCTTCCAATTTTATTCCTCTCATTCAAATCTTACTACTTCTTATTGCTTATTATTATATTACTTTCTTATTTATGCATTTTTACACTACTACTAATTATTATATACATTAGTAAAAACCATACCCAAGTGTTCCAATGTTATACTACACTACTACCATCTACATCGAAGTGAATCTAATCTAACTACATTTCAACAAATGGTCGAGAACTATATTCCCCCTTATTAATAAGTAAAGAAACACCTATCAACTGATCGACTCTTTTATTGTTATCGTCCATGACGCCTATAGCAGACAATATCTCCAAAAAAAATTACTTTGATCAAAAATTGACTGTAAGAAACCAAAGCTTCCCAAAACAAATAATTCATGGCAAATCTTACCGTATTCACCGAAATTGCTGAACGTGATGTCACCTTTGCTGTTATCTTTCTTAAATCTTAGAAAGAAAGTTTGCATTTTTAAAAATTTAAATTGAACAATAAGCTTGAAATATTTTTTCAGAGGTCATTCGATAGATGAGTTCGATGAAGAAAACGATCATTTGATATTAATCATTTACAGTATTTTTTCGAAACATAAGTCGGGAAATTAAATAAAGCACATTCAATCACTTTACGCAAATATTTGAGAGAGACGTTGCCCATACCATAAATTCCAGAAGTACAAAAAATACATCAATTATTTAGATAATTTTATATTATTAAATTTTTTTTGGAACACCAGAGAATTACTAATTTTCAGGAATATTGCTAATTATTTCATGCTTCAGAATTTAAGTGCTTTAATGGGTGTCCTAATTCATTTGAAGGATGGTTGTATTTGTCACGAATCGATCATCAAAAATATGAGTAAAAATTGCTGTTTTATGATGCTACGAGCTCGTTTGTAGAATGCGAATTATATAGTAGGAAGCACGGCGCAGTTGAAAATAATAAAACAACTGATAACATTTCTCGATGAAATACAAACTTCTTTGCCGAAAATTTTTACTGCAAACATTGGCAAAAACTTGAAAAAATCATTTAAAATGTCCATGGAGATATTAGTAAGTGCTGCTTGAATTAGCATCCACTTTCATAATTGTTAGTTTTCGTCGCATTTGTTTTGTGTCTAGCAAACAACGTGGAATTCCTGAATATATTTCGCTGTATCGTGAAAATAGCAAGTCAGGTTGTAAAGAGGAAAAGATTCAGGAGATGCAGTGTATTCAGAAAGAAAAAGGATTATTTTGTATTGATTTTAAAACAAAATTAGTAAACAATCTTGCGATACGACATGAAAATATAATTATATGCACATTAGTTCTGGCAAATATATAACGAACATAGCATTAGGTGAATGTTTTTCGCAGGTGATAGAATCTGATAGGTCATAAGTAATGTCAATAAGTGCAATGTTAACAAGGAAAAGTTAAAAGATATTGCTGTTTTTCAAAGAGAATTCGGTTCGAAATCTCTTATCAGCAGCGGTACATGAAGTACAATCATGCTTTAGTAATTTCAAATACTTTCCCTTAACCAGCTGAACTCTGGTGAATTCTGATTTCACTTTCAATTGCTTGTATTTTCTAGAAGAAAAAGGTTCAAAGCGATAAGTGTGAAATGACATATGTAATTTATATGCAAACAAAAAATTAATTAATGACCTGTTGCTATGTTTTGCTTCAATGTTTTGAACGATTTTAGATTACTTCCATAATTTGCGCTCAGTACTACCGCAAGTTCTCTTTTCCAAATATTAAATGCGGTATTTTCTTAAAATATTTGCTGCATGGCTAACTTCAACGAAAATTTTAGGAAATAACGATTGATAAGTTATGAATACACAATGGAGTCGTAAAATAAAATTCATTGTGCCTCGAGAAACGAAAACTGTCACTTGGTAAAAAACAAATTATGTAGAAATAAATTATGTAGAAATATTTCGATGACAATAATTGCAACAAAATTTTGTTATAACATTTAGCGCATTATTCAATTACGGATTATTCGATACTCTATAAGAAAAAAAGGAGAACTTCTTATTGTTAAATAAATACTTTAACAGTATGTTTAAAGCAATGAGTCAAGAAAGATAAGTCAAAGAATGGGTCAAATCTGGCTTACTTGAATAATGAGTCAAAAAGTGTATACATGAAAAAACAGAACATTTCTCTGATTTATCTCATCAGCTTAATTTCAAACATACAGAACTTTTGAATGGAGTGGCAAAGTTGCTTTAAAATTCTCATTCAGTCCAAATTTTGAATGGGTGTAAACCATTAGTTTGTCATATATTCAATGGGCACACCTGTTGTGTCTGTACTTGAAAGATTTTAAAGGAATGTCTCAATGTGTATTACATTTGATAAATAAGCACATAAGAGACGGTTTAAGTAAAATAATCAAAACCTGAATGTTTTGATCTTTTATTCACGTTTTGCTTACGTGCTGATAAATTTCAAATGTTGTAAAAGAGATAAAGTTTGATTTGTAGGTTCCAAAACATCTCTTTTAGCACGCAGTACATCATACAACGTACAGTATATTCAAAGCTTTGCATGAAAAAAAATGAAACCAAAAGCTTAATTGACATTGAATCAATGGGTAATATGCGTAAACGTCGTGCAACATCGAATTGCTTTCGTTCAACCATACTTTCATCATTCATTTTTATTTCATACATTTCAACATTACTATATTTAGACCTAAAATGGTTGGGAAACATTCAAAGAACAGTTACATATCTTGTTTCACGTGTACCTACTCCGAATTGGTATATTGATTTAAGGCGAGATTCAGCACTTACCCATTTCAGCCTAACATATTAATTTATGACGATAAACTATAGCCCATTTTTACCTCAGGTTAATATATCGACAGCAAACATTAAGGATTTATATTTTTTGAAAATTTGAGTGTAATGAGTATCTTATAATAGATTAGCTTTGCTACTTCATTGAGGAATATTGCGAAATTGAACTTACTGATAAGATAAGAAAGAAAAGACTTCAACATTTTCCAAATAAATTCTTCGATCTTTTAGCTCATTAATATACAATTCTATTTTAGTTTGATTATATTTATAATCGAATGAAAAGGTTAAAAAATATAAATATAAGTTAAAAGATAACCTCCGACAATGCAAATTCAACTTATTACGAATAACTTCCAGGCAATGCGAATTTAAACTTTCGCGTAATGACAGTTTTTAGCTTTTAATTTTTTTATAAAAAATTTTAAAATAGCTTCCAATTTTTCTTTCCCGTTCTTTTCAACTGTGTTTCTCTTTTTACAACATATAAACAAGTTATTGCAAAATTTTTGATAAAAAATTAGAAGCTCGAATGGTTCGAAACATTAAAACAAACACAGTAGCAAGGTGATAATTAAGTAGGCAATCTGAAATTAGTAACATAGCAATTATTTCATATTTTGGTATTTCTAACTTCCTATTTACTACATTACAACACAAAATAGGAATATAAATTAATTGCTATGTTGGCAGTTTTAGATTACCTATTTGCTTAATTATTTCCCTTTTTATAATTGCGTTTTATTTGTAAATGATAGCAGAAACATAATTAAATTTTATGAAACAATTTCTGTTGGAGCTTAAATTCCAGATGTTGACATATATCATTGTAGTTGTTATTGCCTCGCATTCATTTTTCTCGTGCCGTAGCAGATTTCTTATTAAACATTATTCTTTAAAAGGTTGTCGATTAGTACAAGTGTTCTAATATTGCAATGCGCATTCTTCAATTGTGATCTTTCTGTAAATTTCAGAGAAATGTTGTAATAGTTTTCGGTGAGTGCAAATTATTATACATTATCACTAAAACCTCAATTGTGCAATAATAACGGAACTATTAACATTTATATAACATTACATGTTCTAATTCAGATATCATTACACTATTAATTTTTCTTTTTGATTTCCGTAGTGACTTAAAAGACTGTATGGGTGGTATTTGATACACGTACGTATATGGGCCATTTATTCAGTATTAGATGATATTAAAGGTCCCTGGATCTTTTTGTACATGGCTATTCTCTGATCTTTTTGTACATGTAATTTGAACACAAAGCATTCTGAAGCATTGACATTTCCACTATTGGAACTCTCGGTTAATTGACACCCGTTTTGCGCAATACTTAAGTGATGCAAATTGCAATGATTCAGAAGAATTGCCGTTGATCATAACAATGGACTGTTCCTACAGCATTATTGTTTTATTCCTAATATCACTATTAAATTGCTGCTTCACTATTCCAAAATAATTAAGTGATAATAATGATATGGTGCTCTTAATTTGTAATTGACAAAACTATTGTAAAACATCGAATCATACAAAAAAACAATGAGATTAATACTTGTATTTGTTAACAAAAAAAAGTATGTGAATATACCGGATATACCGGATTTAAATTGTTAGAAGGCAAAGAAATGTAGTAATCAACGGATGACTAACTATTACTTCATGACAAAGCCGTAAGAATGCAAATTTAACTTATTACGAATTACTTTCAGGCAGTGTGAGTTTTAACTACCGCATAATGACAGTTTTCAGCTTTCATTTTTATAAAAAATTTTGCAATAATTTAAAATTTTTCTTTTTCGTTCCTCTCAACTGCGTTTCTTTTTTTACAACATACAAATAAGTTATTGCAAAATTTTTGATAAAAAATTAGAAGCTCGAATGGTTCGAAATATTAAAACAAAACACAGTAGCAAGGGGATAATTAAGTAGGTAATCTAAAATTTCTAACATAGCAATTATTTCATATTTTAGTTTCCTAACTTCCTATTTACTACATTACAATACAAAATAGGAATATAAATTAATTGCTACGTGGGCAGTTTTAGATTACCTATTGTTTAATTATTCCCTTCTTATAATTCCTTTGTATTTGTAAATGATAGCAGAAACATAATTAAACTTTATGAAACAATTTCTGTTGGAGTTCAAATTCCGGATTTTGACATATATCATTGTAGCTGATCCTGCCTCGCATTTTTGTCATGTCCTAGCAGATTGCTCATTAAATCTTATTAGTTAAAAGGCCGTCGATTTGTCTATTGTAGTAATGTGGTAACAACCACTTCATAACTTTTAAGATAATCGCATTCTTCAAGTTATTCACTCTCGAATTGTGACCTCTTTGTAAATTTCAGAGAAATGTTGTAATATTTTTCGGTGAGTGCAAATTATTATAAATTATCACTAAAATCTCCAATATCACTGACATTTCTGCCATTGAAACTTTCAATTAATTGAAACCCATTTCGCACAATAATTTATGCGATGCAAATTGGAATGTTTCAGAAAATTTGTCGCTAATCAAAACAATGGATCATTCATACTGCATTATTGTTTTATTCCTAATATCACCATTAAACTGTCACGAAGAGAATACGACAGATATCTTCGACATAAGAGACGACTATAATATGTCAAAAAAATATGTCGCAATTATATCATTTTCTCTACTTCTGCTGTACGGTATTGTTGGTAATATATTGTTGGCGGCATTATTCTGTAGCCGCGACAATTTGTACAGTCGTCCATTCATCTTTATCGCATTCCAAATTATTATTTGCAGCTTTTTGAATTTTTTTTCACAAATAATCGTTGTAATACCTGGAATATTAGAGAGCGAAAAATCTGATTGTAAGTTCTTTTCTTTTCTTTTATATTATGCACTTACTAACATTTGTTGAGAAGATATACACAATTTAAAATCGCAGACATAATCTAATTGCTATGGCTGATACGGTTAATTAGTGAGTTAGAAATGAATGGATCCGTAAACGTGTGATTAGGCAATTTTGTACATACTACAACGGGTTTGCCTTAAATAATTGGTATATTAACATTCCAGCGTACATGTCAGTATTAATCCAGAGAATATTTGCTTCTATGAATACACTTTCGTTTTTTGGTCTATTGAATTTTACATTTCTATTAGCGGTTAATCGCTTTGTGGCCATATCTTCACCGAAATACAATGATTTCTTCGAATCAATAAAGTTCTATTTTCTTGCCATCTCCGTGTGGATTTCACTTCTCGGTACTATTTATTGAGTAAGCACATGCGAAACAATTTGAGTAAAATTATCAAAACTTGATTGTTTTCTTCTTCTATTCACTGTAACGTCATCCGTTTGTCGATGATCAGCCTTGTACAATATGAGGTTAGTTAGACTGTTCCATATTAATTCCAATCTTTTCGATATACTATCAAAAACGCATTAAAATTATCAAATGACCTTTCAGGGTTTTCTGTACTTGAATTTAATTACTGCATTAAAACTTTCAATATTCCGAATTTGCAATGGTACTTGAATTGTAGCAAAAACACTTCAGAAACCGCTAAACTGCTTAAGACGTTTGTTATTTTTGAATTTAATCTTATCCTTTCGGAGAGGAACATTAGTTGAAGTCCACTACATATACCCTGCAAAAATTTGGAATTTAAAACCAATTTCTTTGATTGAAGGTATACTTTTCAATTTTTTTTGCTGTAACAATTAATATTCATCCGTCAGCATTTTCATTTATTATTTTTTGAGCATATCTATTCAGGATCCGGTATCTGTGGACGCTAGGACTACCCATAGCGATGTTTGCAATATACGTTGCGATATTCCGCAGCATCCGGCGCAAACGGAAAAACGTTTTGGAGTTGTGCAAAGCAAGCGGTAATTTTTGCATCAATTTTTTATGCAGTTAAGAAAAAATACACTGCAACAATTTTTAAACCGTTTAAATTAGGAATTAATTTGCAATTCCTTCCATTTTCTTTTATATAATTTGCAAGTTGATTAATTAAATTCAACAACTTTAAGAATTTGGATGTGAAAGAGTATATACAGTAAGAATTTGTAAACATTAATAAGCGATTTTAATCCTCGAATACGTCAATTGAAGTCAGCTGTTAAAGAACATTTGCAGGATGTAAGGCAACGATAACGTCTAAATATGAACGGTTGATGTTAATTCATTCAGTAATCATTTGTGCAGCACTTGAAATTGAGATTATCTGTTTCTACTTCTTATTAAATATCGCAGTCAAATTAGCAGGCAAGGAAGCTGAAATTCCCGTCAATATTTTCATCAATTGCTACGTGATTTTCAACGGTGCAGTGTTGCCCACCGCCAATTTAATTTTCGTTAAACGATTCCGTAATAGAATAAATCAAGCAGCTGTTGAATTCTTATCCAAAATTACGAACAAGAAAAGAACGGATACCACTCCAGCTACAGTAGCGCGTAGCTAGTACCAGTTACGTACGAGCTAGATCAGAATTTTCTCTCGTAAGTTATTACAGCAGAGACATTTTGATTTCATCGCAATGAGTATATTGCCACCATTAATTTTATTTTAGTGAAATAAAACGTTCCGCAACGAATACGAAATATACATCTGTAAGTTTTCTGTTCGAAATTAAGAAGTTGAAACAAGTGGTATCAGAACTATATGATACCAAATATTTCAAGAAGTACGATCGATTTAAAATCTATCGATTTTAATTGTATTTCTTTTTTATTACCAACTGTATTTCTTTCCAGAATTTTGCGTTCGAAAGTCATTCAATCATGAATCATGTTCAGAGAATTACGAGAAATCCCAGATTAAATTGTCAACACTTTTAACTGACCAATTTTTGTTTTTCCTCCCTCAACTCGATGTAAATATCGCGGAGTTTTTCTGCAAAATAAACTATGAATTTGTTAGCTTTAATTGTATAAAAATAAAAAGCCCTTTGTTGCTCTAAAAATTGACATTTCCCTGTGAATTAATTTGTTTGAATACTGATAATATTTCATATTATAATTTGATGCATTCGTGCTATTAATCATTCTATTTTTATGTTTCTGCGAAGCGTTCATGAAATTAATATGACACTGATTGCAACCGTTTCTAGTGATTGTTATTTCAGAACTTTTAGAGAATCAAGATTCCGCTTTAAGTTATTACAGCATACTTGAAATTGAATTATATTGTCCTTCGTACCTAATAATATTTTTTTCATATCTAATATATGATAAATTTTATCAGCCTCTCATTAAATCAGAAATGAAAACTATCAATCGCTTGCTTTTTAGCCTATTTGATTATTTCAAATTAGCAAAATAATAAGTAGAATTAAAATAAGTAAAATAAGTAAACAAGTAAAAATAATTAAAATAAGAAGTGGAAGACTGCGAAAATATTTCATCGAGGAAATTTGCTACTTGAAAATTATCCTTCGTCATGCTTGATAACAATTTATCACCTTCTAATTAATTCAGAAATAAGTAATATCAATCGTTTGCTATTATTCTAAGTAATAGCAAAATAATAAGTAGAAGTCACTTAAAAGAGGCGTTAGTCACTGAAAATTTTTCGTTACCTTTTGCAAAACATTTTTAAGATCATTGAAATTATTGCAAGATGAAATTATTTCCCATATTGTTTGTGCTAAATNTTTATACAGGAAATGCCAAATGCATTGGTAATTAATAAGATGAATGATATATTCGATTCATATTTCGGTTTCCACGATAATGATTTAGCACAAACAATATGGGAAATAATTTCATCTTGCAATAATTTCAATGATCTTAAAAATGTTTTGCAAAAGGTAACGAAAAATTTTCAGTGACTAACGCCTCTTTTAAGTGACTTCTACTTATTGTTTTGCTATTACTTAGAATAATAGCAAACGATTGATATTACTTATTTCTGAATTAATTAGAAGGTGATAAATTTCATCATATGTTATCAAGCATGACGAAGGATAATTTAATTCAAGTAGCAAATTTCCTCGATGAAATACCTTCGCAATCTCCAACGATCTAAACTTAATTATAAAGACTTACAAATTGCCAGATTGTTTAAAATTTTCACTAATATCATTTTCGAAACCTTGGAAAATTCATTAAATAGATCATTTCCCATTTCGAAATTTCTGAATTTTTCTCAATTGTAATTTTAATCAGTTTACTGATCTGAAAATTTGCACTATTGCAAACAGATTTGTTTTTTTCAGTCAGATATAAACGATTTCGATTTTCCAGCAGAACTGTACTTTGATCTTTGGGGTACATTGGATGATTATAGAAATGGTCGCCTCGGAAAAGTTGAGATTCCTAAAGAAAAAAACAGCTAATCATGAAGAATTATTCTCTGATGAATAAAAAATTTGAAATTGACGTGTAATAACTGACCTGCTGAATACTACATATAAAACGAAACTAATGTTTATTGAGGAATAAAGAGATGAAATCAGAGATGATTTTATGGGGAATAATATGACATCGTTATGAAAGTGAACTTATAACAAAAATCATTATAATTACATATATTTGTAAGAGTTTTGTTTAGTAGCATTAACTTCCTCCAATTAGTATTAATGGCACATTGAAATAAGTATCACTTAGTTTGAATGACAATAATAAGTGAACAAGCAGTTATTTTAATGGCTCTTACCTTTATGACTTTTAATTCTATAACATTTGGCATATCGGAATTAGTTAATAAATTATTTTCCTTTTCAAAATCAAGAAGGTATTATAAGCTTCTGTAGGTGTTTTTCGATGATATTCATTAATTGCAGTGATGAGGTAATTTCAGAGATGTTAAATGCTGTAATATACCGTTAGAAGTAATACCGTAAATATTGCTAATTTCGCTCCTAATTAAAATCTGTAATTTAATTAGGAAGCTATAATTTCTTAAAGCAGAATCTCTGTCCTTTCAAAATTGTGAAACAATCGCTAAAACTGATTACAGTCAATGTCATCTTAATTCCAGGAAGGCAACTCAGATCACTCAAAAGTGCATTTGCTCCATTAATCATTCTAATTTCATAAGTTTATAATATGCAACTTAGTTGATATTGGTTGATGTTGATGACCTCAGAATGATTAATTGACGGCGGAGATGTAGAATTTTAGAGCAGAAAGGCTTTTTTCTTATGGAATTAAGGCTAACAAATTCATCGCAATATTTACAATGAATTGAGGAGGAAAAAGCGAAAATTGGACAGTTGAAAGGACAACAATCTATTCCAGGAATTCTCGTAATTCTCAAAACTCGGCTGATAATCGAAAAATTTGGCGAATACTAAATTTTGGAGAAAAATGTAATTGTAACAGTTAGCACCGTAGTTCTTAAAGTAACTGGTACCATATAGTTTTTAATTATGAATAGAAAATTCACGATTTCACATTTCATTTC